CATGGGAGACCCTACCAGGGGGCAAAAGCCCCCAGACAACATAGCCCCTGGGATCCCTGGGACACACAAACCCCTCCACCACGATAAGGTAGCGATTCAAGGAGGAGGGTATACATTGTATGTGCAAAAAAAAAAAAAAAAAAAAAAAAAATGTTCCAGTTAGAACATCGATGTCCAAGCTTTCATAAAGTGTGCCCTTAAATTATTGTGCTGAATAATGATCATCTGCAGAATTACATGTAAAAGGAAGCATAAAACTGCATCAAATCGATCGTCATTATCAGCTAATGACGATAATTCTTTGATGGGATAGTTGTTTTTAGGCTAAGTGTGAAATCTAGGCCTTCTGTCACTCTGGATGTGTAGTCACATAAGGGTGGAACAAAGGTGGAACACATTTTAATCACTTTGAAAAAGTTGAGAGGTACTTCATTTTTCTCCTCTTTCAAATATTCCATCCACTTTGGCAGCTGTTAAATCACTTTAAACCTCCCTAAAATTAGATACTTCAAAATGATTAAATAGTTTTGCCCAAGTCTTTTTGAAGGGCGAAATAACCTTAATCGTACAGCATGCAGTTCATTTTTATAATCAGCCAGTGAGAATATGGAACGTTGTTATTTATAAAGCTGACAAAGTAGAATTTAGAGTGTAAAACGCTCAATTTATTGAGATTCCTGCTGTTCCTCCAGGAGTTATAATACTTTTTTTAAACATCATTTCTGTGAGTAGAGGATTTGTGACTGTGCAATTAGTGTAATGACTCATCATCATGTTGTGTGTGTGTGTGTATGTGTCTGTGTGCGTTTCTTCTTTAGGGTATCTGGGTCCCAGAGGGGGAAACTGTGAAAATCCCTGTTGCCATTAAAATCCTAAATGAGGCCACAGGACCCAAGGCTAATGTGGAATTCATGGATGTGAGTATCTTGAAAACAAAATCCAAAAAAAGAGACTTGACAATACAATTCAAACTCAGCTTTTATAAAGATAACATATACGCAGGTAAATTACCAGCTAAATGTAATGTAACAACCTTTTGTTCCAAAGCCTGTTAGTGACACTGTTTAAAGGTGCTGCAATTTATACTTACAGTATGTAAGGGAGCGAACACTGACCTTTTCTTTTAAAGGCCTTTAACCAGCTGTACATTGCATTCGTTGCTGACAAGTTAACTTCAGTTTAGCGCTAAACTAGCCTACAAAAGCGCTACACAGATGGTTGTAAAGTGAAATCTCTAACAACTAAAGTTGAACCCCACAAACAGCAGACTAGAAACCATAAGGGGCCTGTAGGAGCCCTACATATGCAGACATACACGCACCATGCCATGGGCTCCTAGCACAGTGCACTAGGCCCCATTTATAAAACATTCACATCTTGGCTCATTTCAAAAGGAAGAGTGAAAAAAAAAAATCAAAATTATTACCCTGTGATGATGCAATGCAGATGAAATAACTCATATCAACACACGTACCCATGCACGCACACACACACACGCACACACATTGAAAGCGACCCACTTGCACTCATGTTTTGCACTTAGTTTGACAGTCTAAAAGGAAGAGTTTTGGAGGGTTAGCATTTCTATTTTTATCACGATGTCTTTGATGAATATCCCATATGTGTTTAATTTATGTTCCAAGTGCTTTGGGAGGTTGTCTGACAATCAGAAAATCAGACAGAGAAATGAGATAACAACATGTAGGGGCAATAGAAACAGTGGAGATAACGTATATAACAGCAGAAAGGCATGTGTCCATTTACCTCCTGGTTAATTTACCTCCTAAATAGTTTTGGGGTTTCTTTTCTCTTTTTAAGAATACCTTCCATCACCTCTGTCTAGATCCCCAGTGGTCTTCTAATGACTGACTGCTGAGCAGCTGGGGGCTCAAGCTTCTGCTCCAGGGAACACCAGTGGTAGTTACAAAGGGAAAGCAGAGTGCCATTCATTTCCTTTGCCATCCATTATTTTCCTGGCAGACTGGGATTTCTGACTGGTGACCTTCTAGCTGCAGGCCACTCAAAGCCCCAGTCTCACTTGCCACTGACTGTTTGAAGAATGTCACAGAGAATTGATTGTCTTTCAACATGCGTGTGTGTGTGGTTGGTTCTGTGTAGGAGTTTGCCACTCCTTACCTGTGGTGCAGTAAGAGAAGTGAACCTCTCTTTTTTTATGTCTAACAATAAAATACCAACCCTGTCAGCAAGTGCTTGGCAAAAGGAAAGGGTGTTTATTCCCTATAGTACTGGCATGTGTGTATCGATCTGCATGCATTTAGGAGTGTGCATGTTTGTGTATAAGGAAAACAGCTAGAGCATGCTATTCCTTTAGTTTTGATTAAAGATAATTAAAATCATATTTTCTTTTTTATTAATGTTTTACTCAGGTATTATTCTCCAAGGCCCTCCAATATATCAGTTTTAATAATGTGAGACATCCATACAATGCACAAAATGCAGCAATCTATAAAGCACTTCGCAACAGTGATCCACAGAAAAGAGAAAAAGTTTCAGTTTAGCTTTTTTTTAAAGAAATTGTTTTACTATTATTACATATTAATACAATTCTGAAGATTTGTAACTACCTTATTTCAGTTTACCTTCATGACGAGCTACAGAAGTAGCACAAGTTTGTAAAAACAGTGTTTCCTAATGCTTGTATTTAATTGTAACAGCAAAATTACAATTCAGTGGGGATGTAAACTTTATACAGTCAGTGTACAAAAAAGAACAACCCCTGCAAATCCCTTTTTGTGTTTTATATAACTGTTATCTCAGCCCAACAGTAGTGCTTTCCAGGGCCTAAAGGGATGTTCACAGGGTTTGTTATTCACAGACATATTCTCTCTCTCTCTCTTTTTACAATACCTAACCACAACTACTACTGCCCCTACCTCTCCACTTAGTGGCTTTAAAGTCTATTGTCACAATTCCTCATGTCATGTGTTTTTCAATTAGTATAATTCTTGTATATACTTATTTTATATATAGAAACCTCAAGAAATGCTCTTTAGGATGCTGTGGAAGTATTTTGTTTTCTGGATAATAGCTCACAGAAGGGATCTGAATAGGATGCAGGGCTAACAGATTACAGGATACCCCACTGCAGTGCTAAGTAAACACCACAATATAAATTTGCTTGTACGGAATCCTGCAGGCAGAAAGGAAAAGCCAGTCAGTCAAAGACTTTGGCCCAATTTGCCATTACCCTCAGTGTAACTATACCCATCACTGGCATGTAAACAGGGACCTCATTATGTAAGCATTGTGATAGATGAGCCATATCAGTTCTAAAATGTATAGTGGTTGCATCTCTCTGTTAGTGTTCATTGGAGCTTTATGCATTGATTCTCTCCCCAGTAAAAGCAAACAGCCACACCTGCCTGTCTTGTGTATTTTGGCGTATACCTACCCACCCGATGATGAATTTTCAATTGTTGTAAAGTTGCAGGTGAGCAAATTTAAGCCTGTTTCTGTCTTTTGGAGAGTTTCTATACCGTGGGATTAATAGGGGTCTGTTAGTGTTTATGTTGCAATCATATGCAATATTACAAGCTTCAGGTATAGTTCCTTTGTGTCTACATACTGTAGAGTATAACAGAAAGATTTCATAATACACAACATCAGCACAAAGAAACCATTGCTCTATATTTAAAGGCAAATATTCCTGATTTGCAGCAATCTGACCTTGGTCTATTTACTACATTTTTTTGCTTACTACATAGAATGCTGACAATCTCAAAGTACGAAGTCACTTTGATGTCAAGGTTTTGAATAAAATTGCACTGTTTTTGACTGAGTGGAACCTTGCTGTTCACTTCAAGAGGAACTTCAACCTTAAACAGAATAAGGGGTCCTATGATCTTTGGCAGTTCAGTCTATGCTGGTAAACATGATGAATTTTCTAGAAGTGTGAGTCTGGCATTTGTCTTCTGACATTCTGACCCAGTACAACATATTGTGAAAAAGGTGCTAGTGTGTATATGCAGTGGCTTGCAAAAGTATTCGGCCCCCTTGAACTTTTCCACATTTTGTCACATTACAGCCACAAACATGAATCAATTTTATTGGAATTCCACGTGAAAGACCAACACAAAGTGGTGTACACGTGAGAAGTGGAACGAAAATCATACATGATTCCAAACATTTTTTACAAATAAATAACTGCAAAGTGGGGTGTGCGTAATTATTCAGCCCCCTGAGTCAATACTTTGTAGAACCACCTTTTGCTGCAATTACAGCTGCCAGTCTTTTAGGGTATGTCTCTACCAGCTTTGCACATCTACAGACTGAAATCTTTGCCCATTCTTCTTTGCAAAACAGCTCCAGCTCAGTCAGATTAGATGGACAGCGTTTGTGAACAGCAGTTTTCAGATCTTGCCACAGATTCTCGATTGGATTTAGATCTGGACTTTGACTGGGCCATTCTAACACATGGATGTGTTTTGTTTTAACCCCTTAGCAGTCCTATTAGTCCCCTAAACCATCCAATGTCCCGTGGGCGGTACGTCCGACTGCTAACAGTTTAAACCACTCCATTGTTGCCCTGGCTTTATGTTTAGGGTCGTTGTCCTGCTGGAAGGTGAACCTCCGCCCCAGTCTCAAGTCTTTTGTAGACTCCAAGAGGTTTTCTTCCAAGATTGCCCTGTATTTGGCTCCATCCATCTTCCCATCAACTCTGACCAGCTTCCCTGTCCCTGCTGAAGAGAAGCACCCCCAGAGCATGATGCTGCCACCACCATATTGACAGTGGGGATGGTGTGTTCAGAGTGATGTGCAGTGTTAGTTTTCCACACATAGCGTTTTGCATTTTGGCCAAAAAGTTCCATTTTGGTCTCATCTGACCAGAGCAGCTTCTTCCACATGTTTGCTGTGTCCCCCACATGGCTTGTGGCAAACTGCAAACGGGACTTCTTATGGTTTTCTGTTAACAATGGCTTTCTTCTTGCCACTCTTCCATAAAGGCCAACTTTGTGCAGTGCACGACTAATAGTTGTCCTATGGACAGATTCCCCCACCTGAGCTGTAGATCTCTGCAGCTCGTCCAGAGTCACCATGGGCCTCTTGGCTGCATTTCTGATCAGCGCTCTCCTTGTTCGGCCTGTGAGTTTAGGTGGACGGCCTTGTCTTGGTAGGTTTACAGTTGTGCCATACTCCTTCCATTTCTGAATGATCGCTTGAACAGTGCTCCGTGGGATGTTCAAGGCTTGGGAAATCTTTTTGTAGCCTAAGCCTGCTTTAAATTTCTCAATAACTTTGAGAAATTTAAAACACACCATATACAAAAAACCCCAAAATTACATAAACATAGCACAACAGCCTGACAAGTGAGCAGTGTGTCGTGGATACATTGATGTTATATCACTCTCCTATCCAATAGTGTGACACAACACACACACCACACACACACATCACACACACATATATATATATATATAGTATATATATATTTATATATATATATATATATATAATTATATATATAATATATAATAATTATATAATTATTTATTTATTTTTTCCCCCTATAGGAGATGTTTCAGGAGTACGTTAGGTGTTTGGCCATTTAGTACCTGTACATATAGTGGATGTACAGTAGCTCCACAGGATCTCGTCTCAAATTTTTGGAGATGATGTGGTTCTGTTGCTTTCAACAGGTGGTTGTCCCCAAGTCCCACTGGAGTGGAATGACAATAATGGTGTTCAGCATTAAAGGGTAAAGTGTCCACTCCGTTCAGGGACTAGTTGCTGTCCCAAGTGGAGGAGTGAAAGTGTGTTGGATATTATAAGAGATTATGTCCCTCAGCTGGACTAGGAAGCCTCTGTGTTCCCCTGGATGAGTAGGAGGAGATACCTGGGGAGAGGGAGGCCTGGACTCCAAGTATACACCAAGTGAACCAAAATGTCTTCCTAAAGAAATCACATCCGAAGCTACAACCATTCGGTGTAGGGCAGGAGCAATATAAGTAATATAAGATGATTAGTTTAAATTTTGTGACCTCTGAATATTTATGGTAAAAGGTAACAGAATGCAAAACATACTTAGCTACCCAAAGATGGTCAGATCAAACTTTAGCATACATCTGGCAGTTAAGTTGGATTGTGGTCTGATCACCACTCTGGAGTTCATTTTGAGATCACTGCCTCCAAAGGGTCTCAGTTCAACTGTTGTGAACCGGACCAAATGCGATTGCACAAATGAACTTCACCAGGGAAAATGAGCCAGAGTTTGATTTAAATTGATTAGGCAGCACAGGTGTGAAAACACCCTTAGACCATCTAAAGCTTGACTTCAGCAGATGACAGAAATCATTTATGGTCAGTCCAAAACTGAGGTCCTCGATAACACAGGAAGATATGTGCACCAGTTTCCAAAAAACATACATATGTGTCAGAATCTTAGTTCTCTGTTCCCACAGTGAATATTCTGACACATTCCACATGCACAAACAAGCCATAAAACAATCATGAAAGAATACAGAATAGCCTGACCTATGAGGAAATGTTGTTTTGAGTATGAATTTTATTGAGGCAAAGAAACATTCAAACTCTTATCAAACTGATAGAAGTGAAAGAGAAAGTTTAAAAATTACCTTTGTGAGAGTGGTTCATCTCAGTTTTGGTGACACAGCAAGAAGAAGTAAGAAATAAGGGGGGAAGACAAGACACTGTCAGAGATGATAAATGTGTGTTCAAGAGGCTCGTCTGAGCTAACATTAAGGTTGACGTAAATATCACAAAACACAGCAGATACCTAAATCTGTGTGTTGCCTTTGCTTCTAGGCCACCAAGAAAAACATTGGCATAAAAGCATTCATGGTCTTACAAATTTGATTTTAACTAGTGAAATCTTTGTTTAATGGAATCCCTGCAGCAACAAATATTGACAGATGAAAGGGAACAACATCAAGCTACAATAACATTTGTTTTAGTTTAAATCGCTCATCTAAAAGCAGACACAGAAACTTTGTTACATATGAAGCTGAAGTTTACTGCATTAGTCCAGAGTAGCTGACTCTTTGTAGCAGGCCATGAGTAGAGGCTGGCACAAGGTTCAGAAATGAGTTGGCTTGGAGACCTAACTGGTGTAATAATAAGGAGTTGACCTGAAGTACAGGAGCATTACAAAAGAACTAAATTGTTTAGAGACCAAAATGCAAGAGCTAGAATTTGGCCATCACACATGTATCACATGGGATACTGAACATGGAGTGAAGAGACTTGATGTGAAGATGAGTCTCAGGTGTGCCAGTTCAGTGAGCGTTGTGAGTGCTGGAGTTGCCAGAACCAGCACTCGCACCAGACAGCCAAGGCTGTTTCCAGGTTATTTTCAAAAGAGTGTCACACTGTAGACTAAAACAAGACATCAGAATAAATATAAAATTGGCGCTGAAAACACAATTTTCAGGCTTGTGTCCTAATGCAGGTGTATTATTTTAAAAGTGAGGCTGTACAAAAACATCATTTAGCATTAAATTCTTCTTTGGCTAAAGCGAAAGGGAAGCTTATTATACTTGTGGGGTGATGCCACATGTGCTGCTCCACTCAATATGTCCCTGCAGACAAAGAAAAACAGACAGGAACTATGAGGAAGAGATGAATAGAAATGTGAAGAGAGAGAGAGAGATGTGCTGCTAGGATCCTAGTCATTTTTTTTTTAATGTAGTGGTCTCCTCAGGTATGTAATTAGCATTCCCAGTAAGAAAATACTTCTTGAAACTCAACTTGTAATTCAGGCAGTGAAAAGTGCCATCTTCTTATCCATTCACAATTTGGAGAACTAAAAGAAAAAAACATTTCTTTTGTTATTAAATAAAAAATATTACCAGTAGAAAGAAAAACACAAATAAATACATTTCAGTCTTTTCTGCAGCCAAATTGTTTTGGCACAGTTTACCTCATACCCATCACACAATCTGACATGTTTCTAATAAATAGCATATTTTTTATGTGTTTATTGAAAATGACGACTGTTGGAAATAAACATTGCTGACATACTGTTACAGATTAAAACAGCCACCTGTAATCATTACCCTCCACATGCCTGAGTGTATATCTGTGTCATTCAGGAGGCTCTGATCATGGCTAGCATGGAGCACCCGCACCTGGTCCGACTGCTGGGTGTCTGCTTGAGTCCGACAATCCAGCTGGTCACACAGCTGATGCCTCACGGATGCCTGCTCGACTATGTCCACGAGCACAAAGACAACATTGGATCACAGCTATTGCTCAATTGGTGTGTCCAGATAGCCAAGGTAAGGAAACTGAGCCATTATTACCTATTTAAGTATAAAATACACGATTTGCTAATATGGTCAGTGTATTTACTTTCTAAGTGATATTTGGTGATAAACCTAGTGCGTGGTTTGAGTGGCATTCTGGTTCATACATCAAGGGTTTTTATTGAATGCATGCTTGAATTTGCTTTGGAAAACAACTACGGTACTGTTCTATTATGTTTCAAGCGATAGAGGCCAAATGCATTACAACATAATTTCTATACTGAGAAAAAAAAATGTGTTTATGTTAGTCCGTAGCACATGGCCGCAAGCCATGGACAACTGAGTGGCTATTGGTAAAGTGTGAGTGTTTATGGATTCAGCAGCAGACACCGGCACTTCCGTTTCCTCGTCTCTATGTAGAAGTGAAGTAAATAATTCAAAGTCTTACTTAACTTTAGTGGGGGAAGTGTGGAATGCAGGAAATATGTTATAGTATCATGGAGTTTATTACAAATTCTTAGAATTTTGTTGTCAGTATCAATAGCTGACAGATACACATGAAGTCATATGAAAAAGGTTTTCACTGGAGTCTGTGCAGTACCTTTACTGCTTTCATGGAAAATAAGAGAGCCAAATGCTTCTACTTCAGTACTCTTGATTAACGGGATCATCAGCAAAGTTCGGGCAGGCTGCTGGTCTCAAGCATTTAGATTAGTGTCAACACAATGCGACAACCTCCCCAGGGGTGGAAGCAAATTCACCCCAAGATCAAATTGTACAGCACTCAAAAAAATTGCAAGAAACCCAAGAGCTACATCTCTGACTGGTCTCAGTTAGCATGTTAAATGTTAAAGTTCATGACGGTAACATTGGAAAAAAGTGGAACAAGTGTGAGTCATTTGGAAGGGTTTCTGGGAGAATTCCCCGGCCTCTAAAAAGAAAATGGCAGCAATGCAGCTTAGGTTTGCATACTTGCATCTAAACAAATCACAAAACCTCTAGAAAAATGTCCTTCAGAAAAACGAGACCAAATTATTGACTTTCACGCACAGTAGTGGAAGGGTGAACAATTGTTTTGCAACCAAGGGAGCTGGGCACCTTAGTGTTACTGACTTGACCATGAACATGTTTGTATACCAAGGCATTTTGGAGTAAAGTGTTTACCCCAAGCCAGCTCAGTCATGCAACAGGACATTGATCCCAAGCACAACAGCAAATCTACAGCAAAATGGGTGAAAAGAAAAGAATTAAGGTGTTGCAATGGCCCTGTCAGAGGCCAAACCTCAACCTGATTCAAAATATTATGGCTGGGCTTTCAGAGAGCTGTACAAAACACAATGAAATGAGGCAACAGTGGAAAATAGTGTTGGGTCAAAAATCTTCCACAGTGATATGAGAAACTGATAAAGTCATACAGACAATTATTACTTCAAGTTATTCGTTGTTGTTCTGCAAGCTACTGAATCATAGGCTGTATGATGAGGTAGGTATTCACAGGACTGCGGAGTCCTATGAAAACGTTCTGTTTCTTATGACTGTGTTAATGTGTCCGGTTTTCCCATGTCTGTGATTAAATCTCCAAATATCTTGCACTTTTTGAGTGGTTCATGAAATTGTCATACACACCGACAAATAACAGGTTAAAAAGCCAGGAGAACCCGAATGAAAATGGAAAATGGCTTAGTAATCCCTGTAGTCCCTGATTTAATATCTTAGACAAAATTTTCAGTTGCTGTTTTTGGCTACATCAGCAGCAGGCTTTGCCCAAGTGAGTTGCCAAGGGAAAATATTAAACCATCAGTTAAATTTGGGACACAGTTGTGATCACACCACATATAAAGTGCTTTTTATTTAACACCAAAGGCGATCGTAGCTTGCATTTAGTCTTGCCATGCCGCTGCTGACAAACCCCCAGGCTGTGTAACATTTTCATGGTATAGAATTAATCATACAAATTACGTTGTCAAAAAACAATGAGATAAGCTACATGTACATGAATAAATATATGCCTGCTGTGAACAGTTGTCAACATGGAGAGATTCATAATTCATAAAGGGTAGATATGATGATGTATTATTTACCACTGTGTTGTGTTACAGTGTGTCCCGTGCATATATTGTTTTGTGTTTTCAATAATTGGCTACCGCTCCTGGAGACTCAAATAGCCACCAGGGGCCTCGGTTAATAAGGTGCCCACCCTTGAGTTGACACAAACACAAATTGTCCTTCATAAATACAAAAAGAATTCTCTGAATGAGACTCATAATAACGTCTATCTAAACTTGCTTCTTGAAAATGCACATTTTTTATTCTGTTTATCTTCAGCGCACGCACTCTTACGGCCTCACATGGCTATTAAGGTTCTTGCAAGTGACAGGGCTCCATTCTGAGGCAACATCCCTGTGGTCCTCCCTCTCAGTCAAGGCCATGATCATAGCCGTAGATTATTAATGGAGTGATCTGTCATGAGAGCCATACTAATGAGCATATTCATCAGAGCCACCGCATATGCAGAGCTATGATGCCCAGAATTTTCTTCCATTTCTTCTTTTTTTCTCTATTTTGTTTTATACTTGCATGTTCTGTTACTAAGAATCATTTTCTCTTCCTTATGACTTCTTGGTTTTTGACTCTCTGAATCCAACAGCACTCTCTTCCATATGTTGTAGTTGTGATGTGAGTAATTTAGAACTGATCTGGCTACTGCTAAGTAAAAAAAAAAAAAAAAGTATTATTCTGCTGTTTTGCTGTGGTAAGCACAGTGCAGTCTGAAATGCTGTTTCTAGTCAATCTGGACAGCTTCTTGGAGAAGTTTTACACAAGGGGCTTGATGAATAGCTTTGTCTTTATATTAGTGTGATGGGTGAAATGTGGAAACAGCTCAACCATCACACTAATTTGCCTGGGAAGGGAAGTGAAATCCACTTGTAGCCTTTGTCATATGTTTAGTCAGTTCTGGCTCTACACAACTGAATACAAGGACTACAACACAGAGTGATAACTGTGATATCAATAAGTGTTATATCTTAATGATTAAATCAGGCATTGGAATGCAGCTGACAAGAGGAGGACTTTAAATCTTAAGTTTAAACTGCCTACCACCTCAAACAAAGTCGTCACTATGAATTTATTATTGTTAAGCCATACAAAAGGTTATACTATAGAACACGTGTTCATAGGCACATTGAGTCTAATGTGCACATGATCTAAGAGGATAACAAGCAGGCCTGCACTGTTGTGAACACAACACCACACAATTTTCATATTGTCTCTTGGCCTTGCATATTACTTATTATTTTCACTTCCCAGTGTTTTCCTTTAACCATGCTAGCAGACCGGCTCCAATGGTCTCTTTCAAATTGAAGTAATGGCCTTCCTTTGTGTGTTCTCCCTTTGCCCGAGTCGGTTTTCTCAAGCCTTCTCTTAAAGTTCAAAGACTGTTCAGTGTTTCTCGAAAGAATCTCCACCTCTAAAGTAAGACTGATTTTTTTATTTATTTATTTTTTTAAAGAAAAAGAAAGTTAAGTTAAATCACAGATAATCATGGACTGGATCCTACTATGAGTTTGACATTAAGTGGAAAAAATTGAAATGTGTGAAGGACTGCCATCAAACTTGGGACAGGCAGTAATTTACCCACTGGAACATATTTCTATCTGTCTGCTGAAGTTTCATCGAGCCACTAAGCTCTTAAAAGAAAAAAAAAATCACATAAAAAAAAATCATATCAGACTAAGACTGACAAGCTGGCAATGTCTATTCTAAGAAAAGATCGAGGAAATATTGCGTGAATTGTACTGAAATTCTTTAAGCCTTTTAGCTTATTCAACTTTCTGTCAACTACATCTTTCTGCATCAATCTTTGTCAGAGCAGAAGAAGGTGGTTGGATGCAGTTAACCCTCTCCAGGCAGGCGTTGCAGATTTGCAACAGTTAAATACTAACAACCTGATTACCTCACATACATATTTTATGAGTTTTTTTTACTCAGAAGTACCACTGCAGGACTTGGTTGTGCATTAGCAACAAAAAGTTTAATTTGAGCCTGAGAGGGTTAAAAGGATTGACACTGATCACGTGGAGGACATATAGTCTGTTCTATTTAAATGTCTTTTTCCTAGTGCGTAACTTTTGATTTTTGTCTTGCTTTTTGTCTTCTACGGTGTCTCACATATATATCCCTATTACTTATTGCTATAGCTACCAAGACTGTCAGCAAGGACTTCTTGTTGAGACACTCAACAAGAATACCGAGGCCAATCAAAATGTGGGATATCTTCTCAAGATATGGGACAGTAGATACAAATGCTGTGCAGTCTCACATAGAGTGGGATATCTGCTCATGCTAGGTTGCAGTGTTTATACTCCCAGAAGTCCAACACTGCTTTTTTGCAAAGCAGCTAGTGTGCAAATGATCCACACAAGGTGTCCTTGGTCCTTGGCATTTGCTTGGTTGTGGCAATGGTGACACTTGTCTCAATCCCAATAAATCACAAGTCCTGGTTTAGCATCAGATTTAAGTGCTAGCGATTAATGCATTAATAATGCATCTGTAATCACTGTGTTAAAAAGTTCAATTAAAATGTGACAAGAAGTGTCTGTATGATGCCATCGAGCTTGTGATTTTTTATTTTATTTAACAGCTCGGTGTCCCATTAACTATAAGACTTGTCTCAGTATCAAGTAGTGACAGCAATTCAATGCCACATTTTGGACAACGTTACGCTGTAGGAATGCCTCGCCGAGCCAAGCATTATAGTAGAAATTCTTTACTGAATACACCACCACCTTTTCTACTTCTTTTGTCAACATTGCTGGCCTGGGTTGCCTCCAAGTCAGTGATTGTGTGAATGTGTGTGTGGTGAGAGGGCCACACTGTGTGTTTCACAGGGTCATTTCTCAGTGTAAACCAGACTAGGCAAACATGCTTCTCTCCAACTCATTACATACATCCCCAGGGTTCCAATGAAAACTCAGTTCACTCATTTCCCCAGTCTACTTTGTCTATTCTCCCTCTCCTGTCTGTATTTATTT